CAGCACTCTAGCCGCACAACTGTCTCCCCAGGAAATCTCAACACAGCCAGCCTCCCTGGAATAGTCTTGTAGCAGCTCTCTTGGCAATAACGCAAAAGGTTTGGCTCTGCCAGGGTTACCTGGTGGCCTCCATCCTCATACAAACCACGTCCAGGCCTGGCTAAGCTTTTGGGCAACTAGATAACTCTTTGCTCCAGAGAATTTTTTTTTGCCTTCAGTTTCCCAAGTGTACTTTTTTACTGCTCTTAATTCTTGGACTGGCTTATCTCCAGTTTTATAATTGTGAGGGGCTCCTTCCACTGTATATTTAGAAAGAGCCACAGAATCTACTCAGGGCTGCTGCGAGTTGTTTCCAGATTGTGTCACACAACTTTGTTTTAGTTGAGAACAGGTTTAAGGCAAACCCTCCATTTTAAATCATAACAAATCACTTTATGAAACCAAGAGATGCAAAGAACGTTTTGCTTCCCAACGTGCCAATACTGAGTCCTGGCACTGAAATGAACTCCGGCTTCAGGCTAGTTTTGTTGTTCCTTCCGCACATCTCGGCAGAGCTTGGTGAGAGAAGCAGAGACCGCCTCCCCTTCCTCACCTTGAGGATCCCGCCAGTGTACTGGGCAACTGACTTGTCCACATCCTCGGCTTTTCCGCTTCCCCAGGCCGGAAGGGCTCCCAGGAAGTACTTGCGAGCACAGTCTACAAGCTGCTGGTGTTCGATTCGCACACCAGCCAACACCATCCTGTCGGGTGTGTAGTAATTCCTCAGGTACGAGTGGAGGAGCGCCCTGTCGATTTTCTCAGTGTTCTCCGCCGGACAGAACCTGTTCAATCCCACAGTGTTTTCCCTGTAAGCTGCCTGTGGGCAGGGCAAGCTCAACTCATTTTCAGAAAACAAGGCAATGACCAACATACATTTGACCACACTTCCTTGCTTTAGGATTACTGTCTGCCACTTGCACCAGGAAGAGCCCTTGCTGCTCAGCTCTGTTGATAAAAATGCAAGCTCTGGTGAGCAGAAGGGAGAGCTCCATATCTCAGAAAATAACAGCCTCTCCTAAAGACTAAAGAAAAATAAAGATTGCAGTTCAGGGGAAATGAAAAGCGCCCCACAAATGTCCCCCTCCTCTGTCGGCCGGAAGGACAGACACCGTTGTTGGGGGGGGGGGGCACCAAGCTCGCAC